TTTTCTAAAGATGACGATAGTGAAGGCAGAAATAAAAAAAAATATATATATATATATATATATATATATATATATATATATATAAATGTAAAATATCTCTTTATGCGAATGAGATTGTGCTGATTGCTATTACCGTTGAACTTCAAATGCAGAACATTCCAATGGGAGCAAAGCAAACAGAAGTATATGGAAGGATTACAGGATGACAAACGAGGAAAAGTTAGAGAGAAAATATTATTAGGAAAAAAAAATACATGAGAGAGAAAGAGAGAGAAGCGAGAAAAATGTATGCATGTATGCATGTGTGTGTAACATATATGCGCGATCGCTGAACGTGCGCTTATCGAAGGTTCAATAGGAATCACGACTTTTATTGATCGACGAGAAAAAGTACTTCCTTTTTCCTTTTCCTTTGCAAGCAGATCGCCATGGCAAAACGCGCCCGCCGTCACGCGATCAAACTCACAATAATGTTTGCGGCACATTTAGTAAGAGAGTACCGAATAAAGCGTTTCAATTGGAATTATAATTCTTACCTCTTCAATCACTTCAAACTCGAAAAATCTTGCGATAATGATACGAACACATCGCGCCGAATACAATTTTTCGCCCGTATACCATAGTAATCAGACATGTCTCTAATCGACATAGTGCAATAGTCTATAGCGATACCGTGTATTATCAATCGTCGTCACGATCATGTTTCTATCATGCACGACGTAAATAATCTCAGCTCAGCCCCTTCTTCCCACCCTCTCTTCCTTCAACGCCTTTCCGCGCATTGTCTTATTAATTTCAAGCAGGCATCATATTTCTTTTTACGAATATAAGCTATCAACAGTTCATATCTTACCGCTAGCATTGTACATTTATATGTAATCCATCACTCAGATCTTTGTAGCCACATATTCGCGCGCGAGGACCGAGCTCCTTTTGCGAACTACATATTTCTCCCTCCCCCGCGAATCCGACTAGCAATAATGTTCACTGCGCGCTCTGCTAATAATTGATACTTATGATTATGCCGCGACAATTATTTATCATTCGTAAAATTCGTAAAGCAATTGGAAAGAATTTATTGTATTGAATGTTGTTCTCGACTATAAATAAGAATCGAATCGAATTGATCGTGTCATAGATAACGTTGCCCGTTTTGGAGAAAAGCCGGATTCATGACACATTCGAAATACGGAGTAAAAGGAAAAGGGAAAGACGAAGGAGACGAAATAGAGAAAGACTTTATAGAGACCGAGGAAATGTGCGACACTTACTCTGTTCTTCTTTTTTTCTTATGTTTGATAAAAAAGTGTCCGTCGTGTGTACCTTAATTCGCCTATGCGGAAGTGCAGTTCATATATAGTCGCGAATTGGTGTATATTGATTAAAGAAAAAAAATATGTATTTGTTCCTAAAGAAATGATAAGAGTAGTATAATATAATATACCGTCAAAAAATATTAATATTAATAATAACGATAATTTGATGGTACATACTTTTCTTATAAGTAACATTATACATTACTACGATTATTGTAGAGTTGGTACGGTTCTTGAGGATGCCTTGCCTGTAAATGTAACACACGTTAAATGAAAAAAAAAAAATCTTATTACCTTGTAAATGTTTTACCAAATATAATCGATTATTCAACTTATACTTCGATCCTGGCTGTTTTAATTGTTCAGCGTCCTATCTGCGTTCCGGCAAGATTTACGATTCGGTATAAATTATTTTTCTTTCTTTCATTCCGTTTTTTTTTCGCCGTCCGTTGGTCTTTTCGCTTGACTAACGTCGGCGAAAAAATCTCGTAAAGCTGTGGTCTGTGCACGGTCATAAATATCTCAGACGCATGCATAATCGCGGCGCCTTTAAATGCGACGAGCAATCGACCCGATAATGTATTATGTGCATACGTATCGAACGAAATGGAAAGCAATGGAAAGTTGAATAAGCACCGGTGCACCGCAAGATCACGATCTTGGCCGGATTGCGAAACTCTACCTTCTCGCAATGTGGTAAGAGTTAAAGTTTATTATGTCCATTCATTCACCCTTTTGAAAAATTTTGCGGACGTTGTTTATTTTATACGCACCAAATAAGAAATGTACATTATACTGTCGATATATTTTAATCTAACTTAATCATGAAATTTTATTGTTGAATATATATTTTTATTACGATATACCGATTTCTTTCTTTACGTAAAGGAAGTGAAGTGTATAAGCGATAAGCGGAGTACCATTTAATTAGCAAAAGCGCTCAGCATATTCTGCAATACGAATCTGAAAAATGATATCATACTGCGGTAGTGCAATATAGTCTTATACAGTATACAATGGAAAGTCAAACGAATAGTCGGCACAATCTTTGATGCGAGAAGATTGCAAAATGGCACCGGTTAACTCGAACAAAGCAACTTGGATCGCGTTTGGTAGGCCGCGTCGTTACAAACGTTTCGTTCCATTGATCCTTTAGTCAACAATCGTTTTTTCCCTGATATTTTTAAATCCTTTAACATTAAAATAAAATAAAAATATTTGGAATAATCTATACTCAAATATAATAAACATATCATTCAAATATATATATA